GGCCCCCCCCCTAAGCATGTGGGGTGCAGAGAAGGTGCGCCCCCCTCCCCGGAAGCGATGTGCGCCTGCTCCCGACGTCTACTTCGGCTACGCGCGCAACAAGGGCGGTGGGCGCTTCCACCACACCTTCCACCAGGACATCCTCCGCCTCCTCAAGACCGGCGAGGCGAGGACCAGCACACAGTCTGCACCCAGCGGCTCCCCTCCCCTCTCTGACAGCGTGTTGCGCTCAACAGGTCAAGCACGCCTTCGCCGCGTGGCACGACGGCAAGAACTACGACTTGGGGAAAAAAGAAAGAAAGAAAGAAAGAAAACAGACAAGCCAAGGGAGGGATGGGAGGACGGCACGCCGCCACCACACAGGGATTTTAAGGAGAGGTGTGTGATGCGCTAGCCGTCGCCCACCCTTGGGGGAGTCTGCCTCTCCCTATCTCTCTTCGCAGTCTCTCGCCGCTTCTCGCTGCAACCTTCATGCCCGAGGGGAAGCGAGTTATATTAAGGTGTACTACGCGGTGTGCCTCTCCACGCCGGCGGCGCCAGTCGTGCAGGCCTGAAGAGAGCCTGGTGGCTTCCAGCTAAGTATGCGCTACATGTAGCAGCAGGGAGCCTTGGCGCGGGCGGCAGCGCGCCGCTGCCAAATAGGCCGAATCCATCCATGTGCGGTGTCGCTGCCGCGGACGTGGCTCCTCTTGATAATCGCGTTAGCTCTGTTCCAGCCAGGTGTCCCTGACGTCTCTCTCAGAGGCCAGTGAGGTGATCCATCAAGTGGCTGTCTTTCTAGTAGTGCTCGTTGGCTCTGTTCCAGCCAGGTGTCCCTGACGTCTCTCTCAGAGGCCAGTGAGGTGATCCATCAATTGGCTGTCTTTCTAGTCGTGCTCGTTGGCTCTGTTCCAGCCAGGTGTCCCTGACGTCTCTCTCGGAGGCCAAAAAAAACCTCGGACATTTTACGAACTCCTGAATCGGATTTCTTTTCGGCGTGACGTGAGTTGCGGAATCCAGGCGAGGGAACCTGAAGAGCCGAGCTAAAGAGCCAAGACGCGCACCTCGGCGATGGACAGCTTCAGCGCTCCGCTGCTGGGTCCAGCCTCGGACGACGCCAAGAGGAGCGCTCGCAGGTGGCGCGCCGCCACTCTCGCGACCACGCTGCTCGCGCTGGCGCTCGCCGCCGCCGTTGCGGTGCTCGCCAACGAGCGCGCCGCGCTGCTGCAGCGCGGAGAGGCGGGCAGGGAGAAGGACGGCCCCACATACCAGTTCTCGGGGTCCAGCCTCGACGAGCAGTCCTGCACGGTGGCGGGCGTCGACGCCTCCGCCACGGGCCAGAAGCTGCAGTGCTGCAGCGGTCTCGCAGAGGTTGAGAAGCCGTGCTTCCAGCCAGAGGGCCTGTCGGTGTGCATCTTTTGCCTGCCTGCCGAGCAGGTGCCGGCCGCCTGCACGCCGGCCGGCAAGGACGTCTTCGCCAACGACGCCGGCGTCCACATGCCCTGCTGCCCGGGCTTTGCAGAGGTGCTTGGCCCGTGCCGCGGCACCGACATGTGCAACTTCTGCCAGCCCTCCTCCGTTGTCCCGGGGGCGCGGGCGGAGCACCCACCGGCAAAGGTGTCCATCGACCCGGCGACGCCGCAGGACGCGGTCGACAAGTACAAGGCGGACGGGCTCTCCCTCATCCTTTCGGACGAGTTCAAGGACATCGCGCGCACAAAGTCGGTCTTCGTGTTCGAGGACATCCCGTACGGCGTGCCGGGCAACACGGGGGACGTCAACATCGCCTCCATCTACTCCTCGGACACCATCTCGCTGCTGCCGGAGGGCGGCCTCCGCCTCTCCGCCTACCTGGCGCCCGAGGACGAGACGCGGTTTCTGCGCGGGTGGAACGGGACTTGGAACAAAAACTACGGCTCCGACGTCTCGCTCTGGAGCTGGCACGCGCCGAAGGTGACGTCTCGCGTCAACGGCCGCTTCCAGTACGGGTTTGTCGAGACGCGCATCAAGGCGCCCAAGGGGTACGGCCCGTGGCCCGCGGCCTGGCTCAACGGCTGCTACGGCTTCGTCGTCGAGTCCTCGGGCGAGCTGATGCTGCAGGAGGACTACCCATTC